CCCCACCTTCGGTCAACCACCTAACACCCCCCTCCCTGCCCTCCACCCCTCCTGATCCAACCTCCCAGCTCCGGTGCAAATCTTTGACTGTGCTGTATAAATTTAATTTGTTGTTGTTCTCTTTTCCAATTTAACCTGTGAGATGATCTTTAACATCCACCAGAGTAGGCAGATATAACCTTGGCTCAGATTATCATCTGAAAGACAGCATCTCTGTCAATTAACGCAGCGTCTTTCCTTCCTTTCCCAAAGCAAACTGAGAATTACATGCATCCCACCTACACATGGAAATTCCACAGATAGATTGTTGGAATGGAATGCAACTCTCTCCCTGGACGGACGCATCCTGTTTACCTAACATCTGGATAGGATTAGGCACAGTTTGGCAAGAGCTAAGGCTTGTGGATCCCAGAGTGTGCACTGGAGTCTAACCAACTAAAACCACGTAGCTTGTCAATGAGAGCACAATTTGTAGCATTGTCTGAGAAGAGAAACCTTGGAGATGTTGGACACCAGGAGAAAAGACCTCACAATTGAGGAGATAATTGCAACGACAAACAAAGATGTCATTTAACTTCTGGAAGAAGATTGGAGAAATCACTTAGGTTTTCCTGCCTATGTTTTGTGGCATCACCAGATCTCCATGTAGGAGTTACTGTCTCATACCTCGATGCTGTATATCAGGGCCACATTCATCAGTTGGAATGCATCATTTGCAGCTGGAATTGTAGTTTAGCAGATTGATGGACTCGATGCAATGTCCATCCACGGCACACATTCCCCACCAGAAGTTAAATCCAGAGATTTGGCCTCTCTGCCTGTGGAGCTCTCGTGGCCTTGTAGGGTCCTGTCACATCCCCTCTCACAATACAACACACAGTAGTCTACTTTTATACAATGCCTTTCACATTGAAAGGGCATCTCAAAGCGCTTGGCAAGAGTTCTGTTGCTAATGGCCTTTTCCCTGCCCGATTACTGGGGAGATTGTACCAAACCAAGCAAGTAGGTGTCTAACACAGCAACAGTGTCTGTAGCAACAGAAGAGTGAAGCAAACAGTCCGGACCTTTATTTGGGATTGTGACTGGGAAACGAAACCCGTGACAAGCTCGCTCCGAACAGAAATGGGGAGTGGGACGTTCAGCGGGAGAGCTGGTTAAGGCATCCATCCAGTGGCTTGTATTGCGTGCTGCCGGGGTGAAGGTGATATTAAAGCCTGAGGATAATAATAATAATAATCCTTGCATTTGAATAGAGCCTTATCATGTCTTCAAGATGTCTCAAAGCACTTCACAGGATATACTGTAAGGTGTTGTGACTGCGTATTTTGTGAATGAGAAACCTCACTGTTCCCCATCCTCCTTCTCTCACGCACCGCCCTGCATTGCTGGCTCTTTCCTCACTGTGAGGCCTTTTCCCACATGAAAACCCTAATTTTTCTTCAGATATACTATTGGATACACATTTCTTAAACCCCAACACCTCAGAAACGTGTTTCCTGACCCCACATGTCACTGTCGCTGTATGTTATTTACATTTTGTGCATAAAGCATGACAACAGCTAACAGAGCAAGAAATTAGTTTTGAGATTATCCAACCTTGACATGCAAGGTTAATGATGTGATGTTAATGATGAGTCTGGCACAGTGGTTGCTAGTGTAGTGTAATGAAGCTGTGAGGTCTGCGCCCCACACAGATAAGATCAGCTTGGCTGAGAAATCCTTGAGTTGCCGTGATTGGGGCTTTCGGAAAAAAAAGTGATTTTTTTTCTCCTGGTGATCTGACTGACAATCCCCCCACATACCCCCACCCAGATGAATCGCTCATTCACCTTATGCCACCTTGCTGTGAGTGCATTCGCCTACAAACATCCAGTCACGACATGTGAGAGCAATTACCTCTGAATTATGTAATAGGGGGCTACCCCCAGCCAAGCAGGGATTAATGTGTTTGTGATATTGTCATGGAAAAAACTTTAATGAATGAATGGCATCACTGAGGAGTAGAGTAGCAGCCAATTTATGAAGAGGTTAAATATAAGGATTATTATTGTTATTATCGTGGAGTCCTGTAGCTCAGTGGTTAGAGCACTCGCTTTACAAGTGAGAGACCTGAGTTCAATTCCAGGCAGAGGGCGAAACCTTGGGCAAGTTTCCTTACTCCACACAGAGCCTAATAATAATCCCTCCAAAACCAAAAACAATAATAAATTGGTCATTTTCAATCTACGACTGTTTGTGGGACATTGCTGTGCGCAATTGGCTGCCGCGTTCGCCCACAAATATACAGTCAATTCACTTTACAGTGTGTTCTGTGAAGCGCTTTCGAACGTCCTCCCGACGTGAAAAGCGCTATATCAAATGCAAGGATTATTATTATTATTATATTGCTTCTACGATGCCATACTCCAGCTCCCCCCTCCATCGTATCATCTCAACACATGAATTAAAAGCTTGAAAGCCGAAAATTCCATTCCGCTGGTCACCATTGGGTGACATTGCTAAAACCCAAGACAAAACTGTTCTACAGGCTAAGACTGGATGGAATCTGGAGTCTCCGCAAATTAGAAGCCGTGAAGATAAAACCATGAGAGAGCTGAATATTTGAAGGTGCTGAATATAAATCCTTTGACAAACTTAAAGTTCATGAGCAATTTGCCATTAAGTACCTGGACAAATATCTCTGGATCTGACATTATAGCTCAATGGTACGCTGGGAAGTGCCGACTGGTGTGACAGTACTCCGAGAGATATCGATGCTAGCTATAAGCTGGACATGTCTTACAGGAGAATAACATGCAACTCTATACAAAATACACAGTCACTACACCTCACAATCAATACACTTCACCGTAAAATCTCTGAAGTGCTCTGAGACATCTCACACACTGGATCAACTTTAAGGATCATTACTCTTATTACAGGGCGTATAATGTCAAAAGTCACGTTGTGTGTCAGAGTTTAGTGACTCTGTCGTATTTGTAGACAAACGGCCGTGGAGTCACTGGTCAGAATTCCGGTCGGCTATATTCCTGATTACAAGAATGAGTGACCCCATTTGTACACTTCTGATCCTTTATTAAGAAACAGAGCAAATTAGACCTCACTGATCGGCTCGATTAGACGTAATGTAACCTGTCCGGGTTTGGACGTTGGCTGAGCACCAAAGGTCACTGCTGAGTCAGTCACGAGCCAGACTTAGTGTGTGCCTGGCTCTGGGCAGACGTCTGTGACCGGGCAAGACAACAGGGCAATAAATCATTGATCAGACATGGAAACATGAGCCATCCCATCGCTGGGATCAACTGCATCAGATTGGGTGAGGGAGCTGAAAACTCAGGTCATTTTGCTTTATGCTGTGATGCATCCCTCCTTCCCACCCTGACTGCCTCTCTCCCCCAAACCCCCCCCCCCCCCCCCCGTCCCATCCTCCCTCCCTCCCTCCCTCTGGACGCTGGGAACACAATTTGAAAGCTTTCCTTTTCGCGACCAGTCTTAAAACCCCAGAATCAATCTTTAACAGAGCTGGCAAGGAGGAAGACAACCTGCCCTCTGGTGGCTGTCTTGAAGCCTCTTGCGATGGTTTTCGGGGCAGCAGCAGAATATCTCACCTTAAACCAGGTGCCCCCAGTGTTCTGTATTCTAGCTGTGGGGAGGAACCTGGCCTCTGTCTCTCCTCTGGGAACAGTCACACTTGCTTTACAATTTACTTTTGAACATAATTATATATAATAATAATAATCCTTGCATTTGATACAGCCCCTTGAGACGTTTCGAAGCACTTCATAAAATATAATGAAAAGTGAATTGACTGTGTATTTTGTGGCCGAAATTGCAAGAGTCTGGAACATAGCGTGTGACGCTGAGCGTGAGCTTCGGGTGAGAATCAACACCTCCCCCGGCTCGCTGCCATCAATTCCCTGTAGAGGGGAGAAATTCCAACCGAATCTAGATTCAATCTATTTGAAGCATCCAGAGTTAGATTGAACTCAGTCCAAACTTTTGAAGCTGGTTTTCGGTCGTCAGCAAGAAACGTGGATCTGGAATTTTGACGCAAAGTCTCACACGGACTGAGAGCGGGTGAAATTTCAGGAATGGCTATAGCGTAGAATGGATTGGCAGCTCTCTCCTCGCAGCGTGACTCAGGATACAGGGAGGGTCCGTATTGTGAACAGCCTTGGTGCTTGATGCTCGGAGATCGTGGTCCACGACAAAGCGTGGCAGAAAGCGCGTGCGTGAATTTGTGATTTGATTTATCGCAGGCTCCGAATGTTTTGTCGCCATCTTCGTTACGACGAGAGCAAGCCATAAGGAAAGCGCCATCGGAATATACTGCAAAGTGGATGGACTGTATTTTGTGGGCGAAATGCAGCAGCCAATTGCACACAGCCGTGTCCCACAAACAATTGCGCATTGAGTGACCAATTTATTTGAAGGAATTTTTACCCTGCAGAAAGCCATCTGCCAATTGACTAACAACTGGGTTCCTACTTATTGTAGGCGCGTGGAGTAAGGAAACCTGCCTAAGGTTTCACACCACCTGGGAATCAAATCCGGGTCCTCTCGCTTGCAACGTAAGTGAGCTAACCACAACGCTACAGAACTCCACTAGGACGCGCTGCGATGTGCAGGTATGAGCTGCGCATCTCAGCAACCAAGAGGTTTGCAACATTAATGAAGAAATATGAGCTCAAACTCTCAGAGCCAATGGCTGGGTCACATTCAGCAGGTAGCAGCCTGACTGGGAGGCAGTTTCAGGTTATCCTTCCTCCCAGCGTAACCTCGTTGAAGGCTGAATGTCTCGGAGCACCATCAACTCCCGCACTCAGACACTTAGCTCCTCGAGGCAGGACCCGGTCTTCGTGGAGCATTTGTCTTCATCTTTACCGGAGCCCCCTCCCCGCCATGACTGAGGCTCACAGTGATCGCCTTTAGATACTCCTCGATACTTGACCCCCACCCACCCCAACCCCTCACTCCCTCCCTCCTCCCTCCCTCCCAGCCGTGATCAATTGATGGTCTCGAAGCAAGGCTTCTGAAATTCATTTTTATCGAGGAGGTCCGTGCGCCACCGGCACACGAGGAAAAGAAAATGAATCAAGGAATTTGGAAGATTTACAAGAGCAAAGTGCTGAAAAACCTCAGCCCTGAACAGGAGGAAGAAGATATCAAAGAGCAGGTACGTGAAGTCTTCCCCCTTTTGCCTTTCGATGGGCTATTGCTGAGATGTTGTAAGGAAACATTTTCCATCCTGAGCACAAAGATCAAGTGTCGTTGATTCAGTCTTTAACCTGGCGAGATACTGTCAGCACTGTTGTTGGGAATGATAGCATGCTCATAGCCTCATTAAAGAGCATGAGGATTAGCGCTCTGTGTAGAATGGGAATCAAATCTAATTCTCTCCTTATTATTCCACATTACAACTGGAGAGAAGATGCTCTGAGAGATGGGGAGGGAGCGCATGGTATGTGAGGCATCCAATACTTCTGAATTTATTCTGTGGAAGGGTTAAATGGGCGAATGTTGGGATGTACTGTGAATTGTGCAGTGGCTGTGTGTCTTTCAGAGCAGCGACACGGTGACTGGTACACCCCTGCCCATGCCCATGCCCATGCCCGAGGAGGGGTCCACGCCCGTCTCGCAGCTGGCAAAGAAGGTACGGTTGCCATCTTCCCACCCAAACCCACGCTGTGAGCTCCGCGTTTACGATCTCAGTTCGTCAACCATCGATGGCCAACGCAGTCACTCACACTCACGCTCTGTCAATCCATCCTTGCACACTCACTGCACTGTGCCATCACTTCGCAACATCTCCACGTTCTTAATAGGACAAGCTATGAAATGCAATGACTTTTCCCGACCTTCCTTGATTGAACTATTCACCAAATAGATTCCTAATTATCTCTTAGTCTCAGAATTGGATTGGATCTTTCCCCCATTCCCCCATCTCCATTCTATAAACATCAGAGAACCAACATTTCTCATGGTTTTAGCTTTTGAATCAATTTTCTTCTTAAGCTATAAGATTGGGAATCTTTCTTAAACTTCAAAGTCTTGATTCAGAGGCTGGTTTTCAAGTTATCAAAGAGGAATTGAGCCCTTGTTCAAAAATTTTCCACAATTCTATGTGACCTTGAGTCTCGCAGGCTGAGAATTGGCGGAATTTAAGATATCAATTTAAGAAGTTTGGCTTTTGGGCAAAGATCCTGCCAACACTCACTATCCAGGGACGGAGAAGAGTCTCTCGAGTAAAGTGCTGGAGGGAGCTTGTGAATAAGTACAGAGGGAAAAAGAGGATGAGCAGAGAGGTGGGGAGCTGGTGAGAGAGAAAAACAAGTCTTGTGACTGGATCAGGTGTAAAGGTTTGAAAGCCACAGTAACTCATGAGAGACTATAACTTATTGAACATCTCATTAGAGAAGAAGAAAGAAGATAGTTTGTGCATAATTCATTGTGCATAATATGGTACCAAAGTGCATCACATTTCACTGAAATATTTATCAGTTTCAGGCCAGAGACCAAGACTTTCGGGTCAACACCTTTCCAGGGACTCACTTGTTGCAGGAAAGACCGTCCGTAACAGCTGAGATCTCTCTAATCGGGCATTTCCCCCTCCATCTCCTTCCATTTCCATTGCATTCATGTTGCAATTCACAACCTCTGCCATAACAAAAACAACAACAACAAGAAAATTACATTTGCAAAGCACCTTTCACATCAGGAGGACATTCCAAGGCACTGGACAGACAGAGTTACGGATCTGAGCTGAGGGAGGGTAGAAGCAGGGGGGGAAGCAGAAAGATAGAAAGCATGGTCGAAGAGGAGGGTCTTGAGATGGGTCTTGAAGATGGCAAGGGAGGGGATGAGGTGGAGGGACTGCAGGATGGAAATCCAGAGGGTGGGGGCCGAGTGACGGAAGGCCGGCCCTCCAATAGTGGGGCAAGCGAGGCGGGGGATGTGAATCAAGCTGGAGCCCGCTGAGTGGAGGGAGCGAGCAGGATGGTAGGGGGTTAGGAGGTCGCAGAAGTAGGGGGGAGTGAGACTGTGGAGGGCTTTGAAGTTGTTCTTGTAACCTGTGTTCCCTGTATTGTAGATTGTGTTCTCGTTGTTATGCTCTATCTGTAGTTGGGGTAGGGAATTTATGACTGGAGTAGAAGTATATGGCAGGGGTCGGGGATAGATGGCTGGTGATGCTCTCAAGTTGATCACTGGAAAGCACCTTCCCCTATTCTCCCATACCTAACCCCCACCCCCCCTACCCCACACACCCACCACATTGCAGCTCTCCAGGCTGATCAGTGTGGACCTGTGGGTGTCTAGTTGACTGTCCACTCTATGTGCTGGTCTCTGAGACTCTCTCTGTGTGTCCTCAGATGCAAGGAGTCAGTGTGAAGGGATGGAAGTGCATGTCTTCACTCTTCAACAAGGAGGATGAGCACAAGTTGCTGACGCCTGAGAACTCCACTCCAGTTGAGCAGTGAGTCCTTTCTCACTTCCCATTCCGCTGGTTTCGTTAGCTCGCTGTATGTTGGGGGAATTAAATGAGACAGAGACAGCATTGCTACGGTGACCGGATAAGCAAGAGGCACGAAGTGGAAAATGAGTTAGATTCCCCTGTGAAGCCTGGACCTTCAACACGTTGACATCCGCCATGCCCTCTGCCCACTATTGAGCCTCCTCACCTCCACCTCACCCAATGACAATCACCACAGCCCCCACCCTCACCCCAATCCTGATCACTCCTGGGATCCTTGACTTCTGCAGTGATCGGTTGCCTTCGCTGTGACCCCCAACTCTGTTGAGACCCCGACCTCCATTTTGACCATTCTTTTGGTGCACTGACCCCAGCCCCGACCTCAACACTGTTTAATAGATGTGAATGATCTCTCGCTCTCGCTATAAAAAGAATCCATCTAAAAGTGACAGATAATTAAAACCCGTGAGTAACGAGCGAGCCGAAAATAACTGACTTCACGTTAAAGATTGATGCAAATTGGATCTTAATTAAATTGCATGATTTATTGCCTTTAAAATATGTTGAAATGAAATCCGGTCCTGATAGCAGATCCATCACTTGACACCTGGGCTCGTTCTCGTTTTCCTCCTCCGAGGCATTTCATTTCATTCGGCGACTTTGAGCTCACAGTTCGGGCTGACACTCCAGCGCAGTGCTGGGGGCATGTGGGGGTGGTGGGGTGGGGGGGGTGGCGGGGGTGGTCACTGTGTTATCAGAGGTGCCATCCTTCGGCTGAGACATTAAAGATCCCAGGCCATGATAATAATAAATTGGTCACTTCAATCTACGACTGTTTGTGGAACATTGTTGTGCACAATTGGCGGTTGTGCACAATTTTCTTCAAAATATACAGCCAATTCACTTTACAGTATATTCTGTGCTTCGGGACGTATTGAAGATGTGATAAGGCGCTGTATCAAATGCAAGGATTTTTATTGTTATAAAAGCTGTCCTGCCTCATGATCTTCCAGATAAATCGGTCATTGACTTCATGGCTGTTTGGAGAGGCATATTGCTGCATCCAAATTGGCTGCCTACAAATGTACACAATGACTGCACTTGACAACACTTCACCGTAAAAAGTGTTTCCAATGCTATTGGCGCTGTATGGAATATCGAGTTGTTGTTTCTTATGATGACTAATCGTCTCTCTCTCTCTCTCTCTCTCTCTGCCTTTCTCTGCACTGCAGTGTTCTCTCAGAGCCAGCCCCGGCCCCAGAAGCAGCCCAGACCGAGAGGAAGGTGACCAGCTTTTGGGACACCTTCGCCATCAAGTGGAGCCAGGCCGGTGAAGCCAACCAGGGAGGTGCTCCGCCCCACAACAACGAGACGGAGGAGGCCACGGAAGGCACGGGCACGGCTGGGGTCACGGGTGGCGGAGCAGAGGAGACATCCAGCTCGAACGACTACACCAACCTGGAGGGTTCCGGTGACAGTGGATTCAAGTGGAATTTTGTGACCAGCAAATTAGCAGAACTGAAAAGCAAAAGTCTTGCGAAGAATAACTGAAGCTCTCCTCCACGTGTGGGGATGGAAAGGGGCGTAGAGAATTCCAATCGCATGCACCCAAAACCGGTCCCAGAGAATAGCCCGTGTCTGAATTGGTAATCACTGGGCCAAAGTTTGCAACGTTTCATAATGAGCTCCTTGTTGTTTGTTAGCACGAGGAGTGTTATAAAACACTGACAAACTTTACCCCGTTCTCTGGAGAGTGAATGAAAACTACACCATATATTTGTAAACTATAATAAAAGTAGAAACATGGGCACTGAACAAGAGAGCATGGTTCATGTACTTGGCTTTTTCTTTCTCCATTTTGTTTTGTGGCAAACACAAACAGCGCAGAAACTAGATGTAAATAACAATAACAATAATACGTACATTTGATATAGCGCCTTATCATGTCTTCCAGATATCTAAAGCGCTTCACATGTCTCTCACCCGTTCTACCCAACTCCCCCCTCCATGGGCTACAGATCATCCAGAACTTGATGGCGTATCTGTACTCCATGTCTTCTTCCGCACCAAGCTCCGTGACCTTATGGGGGCACCTCGCCCAACTCCACTGGCTTCGCATCACACAGAGGATACGATTAAAGATCCTGGTCCTTACCTTCAAAGCAATCCATGGCCTTGCTCCCCCTACTGCTGCAACCTTTTAACCCCCTAGCAACCTGCCCGCTCCCTCCTCTCAATGTGCTCCGGCCTGCTTGACATCCCTCGCCTGCCCACTATTGGCAGGCGGGCTGTCAGCCACTCTGCTCCCACCCTCTGGAACTCCATCCCACAGTCCCTCCGTCTCACCCCTTCACTTGCTTCCTTCAAGACCCATCTCAAGACCCACCTCTTTGACCATGCCTTCGGTCACCCTCCTTTCCCCCCTGCCCTCCACCCTCCCCAATCCCAAGGTCGGGTCCGAAACACTGATTGTCCAGTGCCTTGGGACGTCCTCCCAACGTGAAAGGCGCTTTACAATTGTTGTGTGAGATCAGAGGACCAGCACAGATACAATGAGTCAAGTGACAAAGACTGACACTGATACAACGGGTCAAATGGCCAACTGCTGGGTCGAGTTCCACACGTCTACACATATACACGTCTGTCTGGTTTAAGGATGGTGCCACTTGCTGTCCATGGTGGGTAATTGCATCTCCACTTCTCACACTAAGTCACCGTTGCGCAAGAAAAAAGGTTCCGATTCCCCTGCAGGACCAGCGGGGGAGTCAATCTGCTGGGTATGGATGGTGGACATTTTACTTTCACCAGGCGTTTGCAGACCAGTATGTCTCAGGAACAATAACAACAACAAATTACATTTGTATAGCGCCTTTCACATTGGGAGGACGTCCCAAATGCTGGACAATCAGGGATTTGGTCTCAGAGACATTTCCATGGAGCCAGAATAACAGAGTCTTGCAACGCAATGCAACTTGCTGCCTCTGGTTTATCTTGGACTGTTTTTAGTGAAGTGAGAGAGTGTGGCGGGCCATGTTTGTGCATCTATTTGCAGAAATGAGCTACGTTGACCTCACACCTTTGAAAAGGCATTAAAAGCAGCCTGACCTCACACTTTTAAAGAATGCAGCTAAATAGTTTTGACCTCGTACTTGGCAGAGACAGCCTGCCAAAAAATATAGTGCAAAAAATATCCATTCCTGCAAATAGGAAGGTTGCACAAACAAACACATCTTTAATAGAACGTATGCGCTGAGCGGGACACATAGACCTGACCCATAGACTTGTCCCAGTGGGCTCATGTCCCTCTCTCCGTACTGTCAGACCCTGGAGCTCTTGGCTGTCTCAGCACTGAGCAAGGCTGTTCCTTCTGCTAGGGATTAAAGCAAATATTACGGCAAACCAGTACATTTTCCCCAGACTTAGAAATTCCAGGAATATTCAGCCAGCATTCTGCTCTTGAGAATATCCCTGGCAGCTTTGTTGTAACACATACACCATTTATCAGTCACACTTCCTCCACGCAGTCAGATTTATGCCTGAAGCATTCCAGGTGCTTGCTGACAAAAACAGTCACTACACTTGACAATAGCCACTGAAGTGCTCTCAGACATGACAAAGGAAAATTAAAGTGCAGATTCTGTCGTTCTTATTAACATTTCTAATTATTTTGATTCTCTTCAGCTGCTGCTCAGGATATAGAAAGAGCTGGGTCTTCAAAGTACTGAGAGCCATGGATAATATAATATTAAAAAAAATTACAGGAGAAAGGGTGGGGGAGCGAGCACCAGCACAGACACAATAAGGAAAGAGAAGGGGAATGGGATTAGACAGCTCCCTTTTTTATCTAACAATTCTTATATTCTTACGGAATGGGATTAGAGTAGAGAGCTCCATGGGGGAGCGAGCACCAGCACAGACATGATGGGGCAAACTATGATGGCCACCCATTCTTCAGATTAAACATTTCATTCCATGTGCGTGGGACCTTGATGTGCACAAATTCGCTGCTAGATTTGCCAACAGGTACATAGACCTGTGAAACAGGTGGAGATGTTTTGGAGTTCTAGCTTTCTGGGGATAATATTCCCTCCATTCAATCCACGACTGTTTGTGGGACACTACTGCGTGCAATTGGCTGCCACATTTTGCCAACCAAATACAGTCAATCCACTTTACAGTATATCCTGTGAAACAGTTTGAGATGACTCAATTTCATGATCAGGCACTTTATCAAATACAAGAATTATTATTATTAAACCGATGGGGAATTTATCTCATTGTTGTTTGCGGGACATCTCCAGCGCTGTGTTGCCCTTCATTCATTTCTAATGATTATATATTTGCAAAGAGTTTTGAGAAGTTTATTTTACTTTTTAGGTTGCATAAATACGTTAGTGTTATGATCCAAGTGGAATTGGCTTTTTACAGAGAAAGGCGGGTCCTTGGCAAATAAATCTGCATTTCATGAACTGTTTCCAATGAGATATCAGTTTGTTTTATTTCTACAATGTGATGTGAAATATGTTCACCAATAAGACGGTGACAGAATGGTTATGTGAGCGTCTTTGGCTGGATTGCCTGAGTGTGTGGCTCCCGGCCAGGCAGCTCAGCAACAGGGAGCAGCAACAGGAGGCAAGCCTGGAGTCCGGGAACAGCGGCGAGCGCTGGAAACAGCCCCAGGAATATTGGGAAGAGGGGTGAGGATGAAGGGTACGGATTGGCAGTGTGATGGAGCGGCTCAGAGCAACATTCAATGCTCACCGACTGCACAGGACAGGTCAGATCCCGGCTCAGCTCTACACTGTCAGAGCCACATGACCCTGTGTATGTGTAGGGGGGTGGGGGTCAGTGAGAGTAAAGGGCTTTGTGTGTGTAAGTGGGTCAGTGTGAATGATTGTAAGTGGGTCAGTGTACTTGTGCGTGGGGAGGAGAGGTAGTGTGTGTGTGTAAGGGGGGTTTGTGTGTGTAAGGGATGGCAGTGTGTTGTAAGTGTGGGATCAGTGTATGTGAAGTGGGGGTTAGTGTGTGTGAGAACGGGGACAGTCTATCTCTGTAGTTTCCTGCACTGATTTCTGATAGCACTTTATTCTGTGCAGAAGTGATATGAGGGTATGGAGACCTTGGATAGCAACACCCAGTGACACCCAGCAGATGTGGGTGAGTGTGCGCTGCCTCGTTGTCATTGTCACTTTGGTACTAAAATCCACCAGTTACCCTCGCTCAGCACCTCTAAGACTGGAGCTTGTGTTTTCTCAGGCTGAAGGGGTTAATATTCCGAGCCCGCAGAGAAAGCCCGGAGAGGACGGGACAGTGGTTTTCCAGCATCCCGTCAGGTGAGAGCCCAGCTAGGTACCTGCCACAGGTACATTGCCCAACACAAACACAGTGCGAGGCTAATGAAGTGCTAAACAGTGGAGTCTTGTAGCGAAGTGTTTAGCACTCTCCTCGCAATCAAGAAGACCCGTGTTCAATTCCAGGGCAGGGAGAAAAACTTAAGCGAGCTTCCTTACTCCAGACATCTCTGTTTACCCAGCAATAAGTAGGAACCTGATTGCTAGTCGATTGACGGATTTTTTTCAGGGATAATAATCCCTCCAAAAAAAATGTGGTCACTCAGGCCAAGACTGTCTGTGGGACACTGGTGTGACAACTGGCTGCAGCGTTTCGCCCACAAAATACACAGTCAATCCACTTTACAATAGATTCTGTGAAGCGCTTTGAGACGTCTCAGTGATATGATAAGGCGTTATATCAAATGGTAAAATTATTGTATAAATAAAAGTGGCTCAACAGGGGAATACATTCACACTCTAGAAAGTTGCAACGGTTTAAGGCGCCTCTTTTTCTGTGTGTTTGATTTTAATAAAACAATAATTATTTCTATATCTCCAGGCTGCTCTGGCCACAGTCCCGGTGTTTTGATTATTTATACGAAGACGCTGAGAGACTGCTGCAGAACCTCCCTGTGCAGGCCACCATCTCACTATACCCAGAGGACAGCGTGGAAAGCACCTCACGGATCCAGTGCGGTGTTAAATACGATTAGCCTTTGCTCTTTTGTATAAAACCTTTGCGTTCCTGTTTTCCATCCTCTGTAGTTTTAAGTTTGACCCACATCACGGTAAATCCAGTTACAATATATTCTGTGAAACGCTTTGAGACTTCTCAACAACATGATGTGGTGTTATATCAAATGCAAGGAATCTTATATTGTTATATATAACATTGCAGTTTTCTGTTTTATTTCTGTCTGCATGTGCTTTGCTTGTGCATTTATGGATAGTGATTTTGTACATAGATTGATGTAGACTGTACAGCATGGAAACATTTATGGCCAATAAATACATCGATGAAAACAACCTACACCCATGAGGTGGGACAAGTGATCCAAATTTTTTTTGGTGTGCAATAGCATTTCATAAATCAGTCTAATTATTTCCACTGGAGGGAGAGTGAGTAAAGACATATGTTTAAGATAGTCACAGCAAGATTTGAAGGGGAGGTTGTATGTAGGGGGTGGGAGGGGGAAGAAATCTTTATGCAGAGGGTAGCTGCAATGTGGAATTCTCTGTCTGTCATAAACCCTGCCTGAAGTGGGGTCCACATAAAACATAGGTCATTGGCCAACACAATACACAGTCATTACACTTTACAGTAAATCCTGTGAAGCATTTTGAGACGTCCTTCCAACGTGAAAGATTCTGTATCATATATAATGATTATTGTCATTATTATTACTCTTTCAGTACAGACCTTTTTCCCCGCTATCTATATCAATAATAATCCTTGCATTTGACATAGCGCTTTTCACATCTTCTAAACGACACAAAGCGCTTCACAGAATAGACTGTAAAGTGAATTGAGTATATTTGTGAGCGAAACACCATCTGTTCTCAACCCCCTCATGATCATTATCTCTCATTCTACTTTCTCAGTTGGGAATTAACGGAATGGTTAATGAGTCTCGACCATTAAATATTTGATACACTTTGGTGACGCTAACTGCCTTTTTTTAAGTTCCTCTAATCTTTCTTCATGCCTCAACACCTTTTTGTCCTAGATTCCCATCTCCTTTGGAGGAGACGTTAAACCGAGGTCCTATCTGCTAATTCAGGTGGATGGCAAAGAGCTCATGACATATTTGAATTGGGAAGCGAGTTTATTACGGACGCCTGGCCAATAATCCTCCAGACAAATGAATTTATTTAAGGCCCTTTACTAGGATTGTTGAATGTTATGATAATAATAATCCTCACATTCGGTATAAAGCCTTTAACCGTAGAGCTGCAGAGTGACACGTTGGCCAAGTTTCCTTAACCCGCAACGCCTGTGTTGGCCGCGCAGTGAAGAGGAACCCGGTCGTTAATGGATTGGCGGATCGCTTTTCCGGGGGTAACAATCCCTCCCCAAAAATAATAAAAATAAATAACAATAATAATAATTTGGTCACTCAATCCACGACTGCCTGTGGGACGATGCTGTGCGCAATTGGCTGCCGCATTTCGCCCACAATTGACTTCACAATGTATTCCGTGAAGCGCTTTGAGACGACTGGAAGACGTGATAAGGCGTCATATCAAATGCAAGGATTATTATTATCATTATCATTATTATTATTATTATTATCATTATCATTATCATTATCATTATCATTATTATTATTATTATTATTATCATCATTATCATTATTATTATTATTATTATTATTATTATCATTATTATTATTATTATTATTATTGTTATTATTATTATCATTATTATTATTATTATTATGCAATGTCCATCAGTGGCCGAATCCTCCTGGTGGGGGCGCTGCAGCGTCCGTCTGACCGGAGTCCTCCGGGGCTCAGGGGGGCGCTGTGGAGTCCGTTTGACCGGAGTCCTCCGGGGCTCAGGGGGGCGCTGCGCACAGTGTCAGCCGAGTCCTCCTCCGAGTCGGTCGGAGTCGCCGTCGCCGCCGCCATGGGGGCCTGTTTGGGAATCTGCTCCATCGCCAGCTGCGTGAGTGTACCGGGGCCCGGGGATTGCGGCCTTCCCCTGGGAGCGGGGCCTGGAGGCCGGTGACGATCGCGGGCGGTTGGGAAGCGGCGGGAGTCCGCGTCTCCGCCAGGTCCAGGCCGCCAGGCCCCGGCCTTCAGGCCCCGGCCGCCAGGTCCAGGCACACGGGCTGACAGTCACCCGAACTGCTCACTGACCACGTCAGGGCTGTGGTTGTTGTTTGTTAATCTTCTTGTCGTCGTCTGTTGTTGTTGTTGTTACTGTTGTTGTTGTTACTGTTGTTGTTAGTGTTACTGTTGTTGTTACTGTTGTTGTTGTTAGTGTTACTGTTGTTACTGTTGTTACTGTTGTTGTTACTGTTGTTGTTACTGTTGTTGGTACTGTTGTTGGTACTGTTGTTGTTACTGTTGTTACTGTTGTTATTGTTGTTGTTACTGTTGTTGTTACTGTTGTTGTTGTTACTGTTATTATTATATTATTACAACTTATTATTGTCTGACTCCAGCCCACCCCTCCCCCCCCACTTCATCCTCGGTTCTCTTCTAACCCCCCCCCTCCCCCCACCCGCCTTTCCTCACCCATCACCATCTCTCAAGGGACATTTCCGTGCGTTGTTAACAGTAACGCCACCGTCTACCCCACGCCCTCACCCCTATGGTCGGACGGTTATGTGTCGTGGCCCCTTCCCACCCCCTCACGTGAAGCTGAGTCCCACGTTTCATTGCATGCGAAATTGCTTACAAAACACAGTCGCTACACTTTACGGTCGTCCCCGTGAGGTGCTTTGAGACCCTTCCGACTTGAAAGGCGCTGTGTCAGACGCAAGGATTATACACGTGAATGGGGCTGGGGGTGGAGGGGGAACCTTAAACGTTCACGTGCGATGTTTGTCCGTCACAAAGCGCTATCCTACGCGAAGGGTGCTATGTAAATATAAGTTGTGGTTGTCGTCAGTGGCGGTCATCATAATCTTTGCATTTGGTAGATGTCAGAACATCTCGGGAGATAATTGCTGTCGAGCGTAGGGACTGCGTGTTTTTGTAGGGAAATAAAAATCTAGTTTAAAACCAGTTTATGTTTGCTGGTGCAAGTCAGAGATTGCTTGCATTTTCAAGATTTAACCACAAACTGTTGTCAAAAACCTACTGTGTTTATGTGTTGTCAGTCCAAAGGCCAGATTAATACTTTCTTGTGTTTATTTTGGACGTGCTGCACTCTAGCTCTGGTGGAGTAGATTTTATTAAAAAATATATATATATACTGCACGCTTAAATTAAGGTAGAATTTGTTTTCTGCTTTTAATAAGCGGTTTGAATTGTTGGAATGATGTTCCAGTCGCTCCTCAACCTACTCTTTACCTTGGAGAAGTATTTAGTTTGAGCTGATGATGTGTTTTGGCTTTCATCAGCTGGGGGCTGGTTAAAACCAGAGCTGGCCTCACTGACGGTCTTTGCCGGTTTGCAAATGGGAACTGTGTTCTCTGTGGATTGATGCATTGTTTGCTCTGGTGTTTAGTGGTGAAGAGTTTCCGTTTATTCCTTTCTGCTCCCATTCTGGAATCCTGTAGCTCAGTGGTTAGAGCACTCGCTTTGCAAGTGAGAGACCTGAGTTCAATTCCAGGCAGAGGGCGAAACCTCAGGCAAGTTTCCTTACTCCACACAGAGCCTAATAATAATCCCTCCAAAACCAAAGTAATAATAAATTGGTCATTTTCTATCCATGACTGTTTGTGGGGACATTGCTGTGCGCAATTGGCTGCCGCGTTCACGCACAAATATATAGTCAATTCACTTTACAGTATATTCTGTGAAGCGCTTTGGGACGTCGAGAAGATGTGAAAAGCACTATATAAAATGCAAGGATTATTATTATTATTATCCTCTGTTCTCTGTCTGCTTGACCTGGTGTCTGTGTGTAGAAGGCTTTGGGGGGAATTGTAGAAGAGAGTGGTAAGGAGAGAAATTCAAGAGGGGATTAGGTAGTGACCCCTTGCACCCTCCGCTCCACCATTGGAGGTTACACATTCAGCCACTATGCCCCGAAACTCTGGAACACTCTCCATCAATCCCTCCGCCTTGCCTTTTGGACGTCCTCCCAACGTGAAAGGCGTTCTATAAATGTAATTTTGTTGTTGTTGTTGCCCCCGCTCTCCCCTTTTTTGAAGTCCAGTCTGAAGACCTTCATTTTTGACAGTGCTTATGGTCACATCTTCTCCCTCCCACCCCCCACCACCCTCTGGGCACTCTGGGACCCTACCCTGCATGGAGGGCGCTATATAAGTGCAAGTTGTTGTTTTGGTGAAGAATTGAACTGAAGACACTAGCAAGAATATGTGACACCAGTTATAGTTCTCATTTTATTTTACTTTGAGATTGTCCAGATGGACTGAAATGGTCAGATCCTGTACGTTCCTGCATTCCTGTATAAGAAATCTGATCTGTGCTGCACTCGCGTAAACCCCGTCTTGAGTTCAATGTTGGTGTAATTTGCCAGTGACACTCAGGGGATAAATTGGAAAGCGCATTGAGCTTGGCTTTGCTTTGTGTTTCAGGTCTCGTGTCTGTGTGGAAGCGCACCATGCCTGGTTTGTGCTTGCTGTCCTTCCTCCAAGAACTCCGTGGTGACCCGCCTCATCTACACCTTCTTCCTTCTGCTGGGAACGATCGTTTCTTGCATCATGATAGCACCGGGGATAGAGGCCAAGCTGAAAACGGTGAGGACTGTGCCGAATAATGAACATTTCCTCAGTTGTGGAGCTACAGTGACTGTACTGTATCAAACAAGACCCTGATTGTCTCATGCATCCAAATAGTCCCATGACGTATTTCTTAACTTCCTCTTTTTAACATTGTTGTGTTCTCGTTGATCTAAAATAACCATGTAACTGCTTCAGAAGGGAATGTAACTGCTTCAGAAGGGAATAATCTGGGAATAAACTCCCAATTTCCCTGCCTTTCACCACTTCTAAACACCCAAATAATCTTTTACGTTTTTCTCAATAAGATCATGTCCAAATCCGGGCAACCCGGGTTCACAGTTTGCGCCATATGTCATGAAACCATCCTTGTCATTTGTCCCAGAGCCACGCCCAAATGTTTTCTTCTTCTAAACTTGTGTCCACCCAGCATAGGCTTCCAAATATGACCTTTTACATCATAATGGAATCAAATAACCAGTTTATTTTAGTTGAATTTTACATTACATCATAGCACGTAATTGTTTTGGGTAATAATCACTTTAGCATCACAGGAACAGGGTTCCATCGAGTCCACTAATTAGTTAGTGAGAGATCTTTTAAACCCATTTCCTCACCTATTGTTCATACCTCTGACACCCTTACTCCCCAAATATTTATATGTCTCTCTTTTGCACATCCCAATTAATTTCCCCCAAAGGGCACCTGGGACTGTGTGTTCCACATTCTCACAACCCTCTGTATGAAGAAATGTTTCTGATTTTACTGATAACTAGTTTAGTTGAGATTTCAAGATTGTGTCATATTTACTGTGATCAAACCTCTTGCCAAAGACTTCAATCCACCCATCATACTGGGTGTGTATTTCCTGAGTCACTGTGCATTACCTTGCATTTTCAAGAGGAAAACTCACCTTAGCCTTGTTTTATCACATTCCTTACCATGTTGTCAGCCTGCTTCACTAGGTGTCTGACTAATTGTCACAGTGTTAACCGTCTTGACTTAATGCAAAACAGGCTCGATGGGCTGAATGGCCTTCTCTATTGTTTCACACCCCACTTTGTATTTCTGTTGCAATGCAAGTTTTCTGCTCGTCTGACAGTAATTGTGAAACGTTTATCTGTAAATGACTCAAAATGCCTCCTGAAAATCCTCTGTATTTGGATTTCTCCTGTCAAGAACTCCGGTGACCTTGTAGGTCAGACTCCTTGGCTGCCTCCGTAGAGTCTGTATCTTTCCAAAAAGATCGTAAATAGATGTTAGTAATGTCATCATACATCCTGTTAACAATCTGCAGCCAGCAGTGTGATTAACTGGCTTAGAATTCTCAAACGTTAAGTAACATTGGTAACTTTTATTGGTCCTTCGCAGATCCCGGGATTTTGTGATGGAAGCTCAGGGATCCCGTTCGTTCAGGGTCATGTTAACTGCGACCTCATCGTGGGTTACAAATCCGTCTATCGCATCTGCTTTGGGATGGCCGCTTTCTTCTTCCTCCTTTCTCTGATTATGATCCAGGTCAAAACCACTAAAGACCCAAGGAATGGCATTCAGAATGGGTAATCTGTTTCTCTTTCTTTACTTCGTGATTTTCCGCTCCTTTCTTGCCCGCTGGGATTCCAGTACATGTGTTGTTGCTTCACGGATTACCATAGACATGGTGTGATCATAGAGGACATAACCTCTCCTCTTGAATTCTCCTCCCCCAGTTTTCACAAGTGAATACTATGCTCCCTTGTCAATAGTTTCCAAACTTAAGGTAACTATTTTTCTTTACCTTACCTTGTATCTCAGAATATGTCGATCATATCATAAGAACATAATAAATTGCTAGGAGAAAGAAGATCAAGGTCTATCTAGTTCGCCTTCCACCAACCTGGTAGTCGCTTGACATATCGTGTCCCAAACTATATACTGTATCCCGATAGATTTCTGCTGGAAAATAAAATATCAAATTTGTTCTTGAAACAAACCAGCATTTCTGCTTTCAGTGTCTCCTTAGGAAGCGTGTTCCATAAGATATCGCCTCTCAATCCGCTCACTTACTCACTCAATCTAATCAACATCTCTGCCTTTTGTTCAGGTTCTGGTTTTTCAAATTTCTGGCCTTGGTGGGAATCATTGTCGGTGCCTTCTTCATACCCAACGGAACCTTCTCAACAGGTAACGAGCAACTCTATGGGTCTGCATTGAACAGTGAACTTGATCAAAGGTGGGAATCCTTCATGAGATTAGCCTTGATGTTGTTCGTTTTCGTTGCCTTCAAATATAAGACTGAGCAGAAACATTTGGAAACTTGTAATTCGGAGGCCAGTTTATGACCTGTGGAAAACTGACTTCCAAATGTTACTGAATTTAAGGCATTCCAAAATTCAACCCAACCTGGATGGACCTTGGTCTTCTTTCACCTAACAATTCTACCCAGTCATCTTAAGGAGTCTGAGGGGATAGCAGACATACAGACAGACTGTATTATCTGTGCGGAATTATTGTGCAATTATAAATGAGTTTGATTTATTTGATTCTTGCCGAGAGCTGCTTTTGTGTTTTTTTGCTGCTGGGTAATTGACAGGCCTTAAATAGCTAATGAGTTGATTTGTATTCGCAGTCTGGTTCTACTTTGGTATCGTCGGTGCCTTCAGCTTCATCATCATTCAGCTCATTCTTCTCGTTGACTTCGCTCACTCCTGGAGCCAGCTCTGGGTGACAAACATGGAGGAGGGCAACTCCAAGGGCTGGTACTGTGGTAAGTAAAGATAACCCCGGGATTAGCTTCATAGTTTGTTTGGGAGGAGACTTTAAACCGAGGCCCCGCCTGTGCCCTTTCAGATGGACATTAAAGATCCTGTGACACAATCGGAAAAGAGAAAGCAGTCACTCGCTTTCTCTCCCTCTCTCGCGCTCTCACTCTCCCCCAGTGTCCGGGCTGCTGTGGGACCTTGCTCTGAGCAAAATGGTTGCTACTTTTGCTTACCAAATCCTACAGACACTTCACAGCAATCGTCTGTGCTCTTTGAGACTTGTCAATGCCATAATAACAAAATGTTTTAATTTCAAGGTGGGGAGCATAGGAATCTCTGGGAATGTTTGTGTGAACAAGTCTCTAATTTTGGTTTTCAGAAGATAATTCTTACTTGAACTCTTGACCGTGCCTTCAGCTCCCCTCTAGACTCTCTACCCCCTCCTCGCTCCCTCCCTTCCCTCCCCTCATTCTGACCATTCCCCCCCTGCTCGGGTCCTGACCCAACTGTCCAGCGCCTTGGGACGTCCTCCCGACGTGACAGGCGCTCTATAAATGGAATCTTGTTGTTGTTGTAAATATAAATTAGAGGGCGCCCCTGGCTGATTTGTTAGAGGGTTTAGCATTCGTTTTATTTTTTTGGAATCTGATTTGGCTTTTAAAATTGTCCCTCGTCACTCACGTGCCGCCCTCCAGCCTTGCTGACCTTCACTGTCCTCAACTACCTGGTGTCACTGGCTGCTGTGGTGCTGCTGTACGTGTTTTACACAACCCCCGATGACTGCGCAGCAAACAAGACCTTCATCAGCCTGAACCTCATCTTCTGTATCATTGTCTCCATCGTTTCCATCCTGCCCAAGGTTCAGGTAAGAAAGCCCTCTTCACACTGTGACTCTGTGGGCTTTGTTTCGGCCAGTCAAGGATTTTCACCTAAGCAGGGTATTGGGATCAGGAGGAATGGAGGACAGGGAGGGTGGGGGAAGGCGGGTGATCGAAGACACACTTGAAGAGGGGGATCTTGAGACAGGCCTTGAAGGAGGCAAGGGAGGGAGCTCAGATCAACATATAAAACTTATGTGTGGCACTTAAAAACAATCACGGTGCATCTTTTATCGATGAAGTTTCTTCCATAGTTGCAGTAGTTTACTGATGGTCGCAGATTTGATATTTCTCGGAATATCTCTTTGTAATCCGTGGTGTGTTTGATTGTCTTTACGCAGGACGCTCAGCCCTATTCTGGCTTGCTGCAAGCCTCTATCATCACTCTCTACACAATGTACGTGACCTGGTCTGCAATGACCAATGAACCAAGTGAGTCTGACATCACAGCTTTTTCTTCAGGTTTCTGTGGACATAGAAGAGAAATTAAGGTTGAGTTAAGAGTTATTCCACTGAGTATGAGAAGAGGATTTTTCTGAAATGTTTGCCCTCTCGTTACTCATTGGTAATTGAGCAGCGGAGTTAATGTACTAGCATTTATCCTATGTCACAGTATGATTCAGTACGGACCTTTTCCAAGATTAGACCTTAAATGAAGATGAGAATAAAAGTTATGGGAATTTTATTGCCCCTAACTTATAGGGAGACCCTAGGGAGATGGTTGAAGCAGGAATGTTGATTCTTTCAAACACAGATTAGATAGCTTTTTTTAGGAAATAGCATTGTGGGATATAGTATGTAGTTTGGGACTTGAGGTGGTTAATGTGGTTGTAATTTGCGTCTGTTTTGTGCAGATCGGAAATGTAACCCGAGTCTGCTTAGCTTTGTCCACCCAGCGGGCAGTAACGCAACAGTGTCTCCGTCCACAAGCAGAGTGGGGCAGTGGTGGGACGCCCAGAGTATCGTGGGGCTGGTCATCTTCCTGTTCTGTGTGCTTTATTCAAGGTCAGTGTAAACGCATCGTTTTCAGGTCTACTCTGTTCTATTCCTACAAAAATAGTCCAATTAGATACACATAGCCTACTCCTACTTATAGACATATAAGTAGGAGTAGGCTATTCAGCCCCTTGAATCTGTTCTGCCATTATATAAGATCATGGCTGATCTGTACCTCAAGTTTAGTTTCTCGCCGTTTCCCCATTATCCCTTAACACCCCGACCCAACAAATATTTATCTACCTCCGTCTTGAAATTATGAATGGACCAACTCTAAAAAATATATAATGGATTTGTGGCAAGTGGTGGGTAAGCACTCTGAACCGCAACCCTGCATGAGGGAATGTTGTTGTACTTTCTTTATACCTGACGAGTGCAGTTCTCTTCTCTCCGCCTCTGCAGCATCCGATCCTCCAGCAATGCTCAGGTTAACAAACTGCTGCTGAGTGATGAAGAAGGCAAAGGGAAAGAAAAAGAGTTGGCGATCTCTCAGGAAGAGGATGGTAGGGATAACAAGCCGGAAGTGGTCAGCTACAGCTACTCCTTCCTCCATTTTTGCCTGTTCCTCGCCTCGCTCTACATCATGATGACACTGACCAACTGGTACAGGTATGTCTGCATTCATAGACCGAGCAGAGATAACAGTCGATAGTGGGGATTAGTGTATGATGACTCCCCTCAATGCACCTCAGGGCAACAGCAGAATAAACTGCAAGCGAGTGGCTTAACTATAACATAGGGCTAAAAGGGTTGGCTGCAGATCAATGAGGTGTGTCTAGGCAGAGGGGAAGCATTTCTGCCACAGGATGAACACTGAGAGGTCTGCTCTCCTGCAGCACCTCTCGGCCAGTTGCCAAACAGCGGTTCACCTCCTTCGATGGGAGCTGAGTGTGGTGGGTTGGGGAAAAGAGGAGGAAATAAATCAGCATTTAGGGGTGGTTGGCAAGAGGCTATTTAGCTTGTTTTAAGGATTTTTTCAATGTGTTTCACTGCTATCATTCCTAACCTTAACCCTTTACTATCATTACTTGCCAAATATCTCATCTGCTGAGCACCTCAGTGACTCTTGTGTGTCTAGGCTTTCTCAGATTCTCAATACTTTGAGTAACAAACTTTCCTTTTTCAACTCCCCAATGTTAAATTGTTGGTAACTTTAAGTAAGCGGAGAATAGCAGAGTCCTAGTTAATTTTTTATTGTCATTATTATTATATCAGTGCCAGCAATTTTTTTTTCAAACGGAAAACTAAATGTTTACATGATGGTGTTTTCGCGGAGATAGCGACATTTTCACTGTGGCCGTTGCCAATTTGTTTCCGCACTCTCTCTCTCTCGCTTGCTTGCAATCTCTGTATTGCCCTTACTGAGCTCTGCTTGCCTTCAGTCTGTGCCAAGCCTCCTTTCCTGTAGCTTGTCTACCAAATTGCAAATCGTATCTTCTCAGTGAACGTGTACAATGCCAGTGCGGTAGGGAGCTGATGCCAGAGAGAGCCGACCTGAGTGTGCACTCAGCGAGTGGCTTGATGTTGCTCAGTAAGTGGTGGCTTTTATTTTATTCCTTTTTGATTTCTTTCTCAGTCCCAATGTTGACTATTCGAAAATGACCAGCACCTGGCCCGCAGTTTGGGTAAAGATGGCCTCCAGCTGGGTCGGACTCCTGATCTATCTCTGGACCCTCGTGGCTCCCCTCATATTAACCAACCGTGACTTCAGCTAAAGCCGCTGCCTTTTCACACTACACCATCAACCTAAAGTTTACTTTAGGCCTTACATTTTTTTCTTTAGAAAATCTGCTTGAAACAGTTAATCACCAATAAAATGAAGCCTTAACTGTCACGATAGGATTGATTGGATGGCACGATGCCTGCCTTTGTATTTACTCGCTGCTCATGTCTGCATCCTTCAGGTATTCTATGTTGCAGATTATCCTCATAACCTCTTCCTCCCCCGCACTCTTACACAGGAACCAACAAGAGGGTCTGATGGTCATGTTTGAACCGCGCAAAGTGTTAGATGTAAGCCATTGCTACCAAAATACAGTCTGACCCCGTATTAGAAGACTTGTAACTGTGAGCCGATTTGTACCGCTGATAGTGTGTGATACTGTACCACTGCGAGAGAGATTTTCAGCACTGATTGGATAGGAAGCAGAAAGTGATGTCAGTGACCTAACGACATGGAAGAGTGACCTGTATCCACTTTTTTTCACAACTTGTTCTAATGCCGGGCTGGGGCTGTGTCTGATTTTATGGCAGCAAAATAATATGTCATAACGGGGTCAGACAGTATTGTCCTGCGGATCAAAACCATGATTTGCTGGTAACTTTTCAGTATTTACTGGTGTAATGGCAGTGTGTAAGTAGAGGCCAGTGGAATTAGCTGCCGTTTCGGCCTGAAATGAGATCTTTGCTTGTTAGTCCACAGTTTAGATTCCAGGTGAAGGGCTATCTTCCATTTACTTACAACAGAAGCTGAATAAATCCAATGTAGGTCGTAAATGTAAATGCAGAATTTTTCTTACACGTCAGGGGGTTTGTAAGAGTGACTGTATAATAGGAATTTAATAAGTTTAATAGGGATAGAGGTGAGACAGTGGAGATGGAGTATCAGTGACGCATGTGACGATGCAGAATGTTTAAACCATTCAGTTGCACAACTGTAGAAAATGACAACGTCTCAACGTTGAGTTCTAAAGAACTTAACCCTTGGTTTGTCAGAAGTGCTGTGTAGGATGCGACGCATGGGGGAATGTTTATCCAGTAGGTGTCATAACTCATTTCTCTATGTTTTCTTGGGTACGACTTTTTTTTTATTTAGTCAAACTTTCTATAAACGTGACGATTTATCCTATTCTCTAAAAATGTAGTGCCTCATAAACCTGTGCATGTTTCCGACAATGTATTTTGCTATTTTTACCAGTCAGGAGCGATGGGTGCATCGCAAGGGAATTCCTGTTAGTTATTAGTACTTTTGCTACTTTACTCCATGGTAATGTTTCTGTGAGAGTTTGATCCGCTTCTCAAGAGACTCGCACTTGGGAGCTGTTTTTAAGACGGCAAATGAATAATTTTTTGAAGTATAGAGGGCGACACTCCTCAGTGCACTAGTTCGAACTTGCCTTGTATTCTCTCACTTTTCAGGAATGTACAATGGATTTTTACAAATTAAAGATTTTTTTCAATGCACCAAACGTGTGCGTGTGTGTTTTCTCCCCTCCATTTTATTCAGGTTCTGTGACCCCCCATCGTGTTGATTTGGAAGGGTGGGGATGTGTCAACCCATGGCAGTTGATCTTGGGTGGAAGAGTTGCAGTGTTTCCTTGTGTGATGCATAGTTACAGAGTATTCCTTTCTTCTGGTACAGCAGTAACTTCACAAAGCACTTCACACGTATTGATGTTGAGTGCTGTTAAGGCAAACCCATCCTGTTCACTGCTGGGTCTCGTGGTGCCTACCAATTAGAAATTAGGTGATTAATTTGTGCCACCAACATCCTGCGCACAACAGCATAAATCTTTTTTAAAAAAAAACTAAGGAAATCGATTATCGAAAGGGTTTCTGTACCAAATGCAAGAATTATATAAAGAGTGTGTTCCAACGAGATGTTGTAATGTACAATATATTCCTTTCCACCAGGTGTTGCTGTTGCTTGTTACTTGGTCTCACAGTAAGTTCCAATGTCGGCTGCTGCAGGTAAAACCTCCCCGAGGAGCCTTTATACATTGAGAATGCCAGGAACACGAGTCATCATGACAGCGATGTCACGTGAAGCTCTGGACTGTTGTGCTGCTCAGGTCCCTGGTGATATTTCTGCCGCTGTGTTACCTTATTTAACAATTTACCAATTGATTTCGAGAGTGTTTCAGACCTGTACTCGTGGCTTCTAAATAGTCACAACAGGTGATTAGTTCAGTCCATGCTATTCCAACCCCCCAACTACGAGCCTGCTATCATTCCAACCCATATTTCCCCAGAATTTAATGTTGTCTCCTTGTTATTTGTAACTCGCTCTAACCTGCGATTGTATGAATGAAATCTGGTGTCCCTTATCACAGTATACACCATGTAACCCTGACACCAGCTCTTGTCTGTCAGGACTTAGAGAGTTTACAGTCAGGGCATTGTTGAAGGTGCCTTCCTTCCGATGGGATTTTAAATCGAGGTCCTATCAGTGCCTGTTCAGATGAAGTTAAAGATCCTGAGACTCTTGGTAGAGGAAAGGGAGTTTCTCCCAGTAACAGTCATCCAGATAATTCTTCATTCAATTTATACCTGTGAGTGGGAGCTTGCTACGTATGAAATGGCAGCTGGGTTTGGGTATTCAAACCATTGTCAAACTTGATGATAATAATTACTATGAACACAAATTGCTTTTCACCCCCTAACTCAAAAAGCCCTCCCCCCCCCACCCTCCCACCAACACACACAGACACAGGGCTTGGTGTGGGACTTCTAGGCTTCTGCATATCTATTCATACAAATCCAGGGATTACTTTAGAGGCTGAGTGTTACCCTTAGCGTAAAAGCAAACATTGCAGCTCTGGACCGGAGAGGAAACAGGGACTTTTCCCAGTGCGAGCACTTCCTGCTGCTGCTCTCTCCCTCACTGTGGAGCTGCGTACCACAGAGTCACTGACCTAAACGTGCCACCCCTCCGTCTCATTAGGCGGAAGTCTTTGGGCTATATTTAGCCGCCACACAATAACTCCCCCAGAAGGAGGTGACGTGATCACAAACGGATTTCGATGGTTTGTACCTCATGATCCCTCTGCTCCTTCTGCCTCAGGGAAACCACTGGAATGCAATCAGCCTATTGAGATCATCAGGGGAGAAAGTGACTCAGTCTGATTATCTCCACGGAGCTTTAACCATTTCAGCATTGTTTCCCGAGTAGCTTGGAGCAGCAGATACAGAGCTCAGCTTTACATTGGTGGGAGTCCTGTAGCTCATGGGTTAGAGCACTCCCTTTGCAAGAGAGAAAGAGAGCTGGGTTTGATTCCCGGCAGGGTGAAACCTTGGACAAGTTTCCTTACTCCACACGCCTGATAATAATCCCTCAAAAAAAATAATAAAATTGGTCATTTCAATCCTGTTTGTGGGACGTCACTGTGCGCAATTGGCTGCTGCATTTCGCCCGCAGTCAATATACAGTCAGTATATTCTGTGAAGCGCTTTGAGACGTCTAGAAGACGTGAAAAGTGCTGTATCCAATGCAAGGATTATTATCATTATGTGTTTTGTGTTATTCATCTTGTCTCACTCCTGGACTTGCACTGCTGCACTCACTGTGAAACACTTTGAAGTTACATGTTCCAAATTATTAAAATGAATAATAATCCTTCCATTTGAGATAGCGCTTTATCACTTCGTTGAGCCGTCTGAAAGGGCTTCACAGAATATATTGTAAAGTAGATTGACTGTGTTTTTTGTGGGCGAAATGCGGCAGCCAATTGCGCACAGCAGTGTCCCACACACAGTCATGGATTGAGAGACTAAATTAATCGTTCCAATTTTTTTTGGGAGGGAGTATTACCCCTGGAAAGTGATCTGCCAATCGACTAACGACTAGGTTCGTACTTACTGCTCGGTAAACCGAAGTGTGTGGAGTAAGGAAACATGCCTAAGGTGCGGTTTACCCCGCCCGTCAGATGTAGTGTCTGATCTTTGGAGGCAGGTGAGCTCATCCAACTTTGCAATATTGCAACAGTGCAGATCTTAATTCAGAAATTCCATAGATAAGACAGCGATGGTGAGGAGGTATGAGGTGGCGGTGCTGGTGCCAGCAGTCTGCAAGCGCTTGTGAGGTGCGGCGACGTGAGACCAGGAAACCTGCAGGTAGAACAAAATGAATTTAAACTTCCCGACAATCTTCTCCCGAGATATGAGATGAGGCAAGTCTGTCAGCTTATCGATGACGCTCACTCTGTGGGCTCAGGCGTGCCGTACAGGCACTTGGGTAAGAGCGGAGGGTGACTCATGGCTGTGAACTTGCACGCACCTTGTGTTCATCCACCGTGACCTCTGCTGCCTTCGACACCGTTGACCACTCTGTCCTCATCCACCGCCCCTCCTCTCACCTCAACCTTCATGGCTCTGTCCTTGACTGGTTCAGATCGTACTTGTCACACTGCCTCCACTTCATCTCCACAAGCGGTTTCTCCTCTAGCCTCCGCACCGTCTCGTGCGGTGTTCCTCAGGACTCTCCTTGGTCCCCTCCTCATCAATATCTATATACTCCCACTCGGTGATATCATCCCCAGACATGGGGTCAACATCCACATGCAGATGACACTCAACTTTACTTCTCTGCCTCCACCCTTGCTCCAGGACAATTGCTGTCCTGACACAATGTCTGTCAGACGTCAAGTCCTGGATGAGAGCTAACTTTCTTCAGTTGAACATCAACAAGACCGAGACTCTCCTGATTGGCTTCTGTCAGCGCCTCCACACCTCAGGCGCTGTCAGCATCACCATCCATGGATGCACATGCCACCTTACTAAGGCAGTCCGTAACCATGACATCTTGTTTGACCCTCAACTATCCTTTCTACTCCACATCCGTGCCGTGATCCGTTCTGCCTTCCCCCACCTCCGCAACTTCGGCCAGCTCTGCCAGTGACTCAACAACAACAACAAGATTCCATTTATAAAGCGCCTTTCACGTCACACCACAGGCCGCCGAAATCCTCAAATACACATTCATCACATCGAGGCTCGACTATTGCAAACTCCTTGCTTGTCAGCCCCCCAACTCCCGCCTCCATAGGCTGCAGATCATACAGAAGTCTCCTGCACCATGCTCCTGGCCTTATCATCCCCATCATTGCCCGACTCTACTGGCTTCCCACCACTCAGATGATACAGTTCAAGAACCTGGCCCTCACCTTCAAAGGCATCCATGGTTTTGCTCCCCTCTACCTCTGCGACCTCCTAACCCCATACCATCCTGCCCACTCCCTCTGCTCGGCTGGCTCCGGCCTGGTTCACATCCCCCGCCTCGCCTACCCCACCATTCTGCCACTCTATCCCCACCCTCTGGAACTCCATCCTGCAGCTCTTCCGCCTCGCCCCTTGTCTCCTTCAAAACCCATCTCAAGACCCTCATCTTCGACTGTGCTTTCGATGACCCTCCTTGCCCCCCTGCCCTCCACCCTCCCCAATCCTGCCCCCCCCCCCCCCCCCCCCCCAGCTCGGGTCTGAAACACTGACTGTCCAGCATCTTGGGACTTCCTCCTGACGTGAAGGATGCTATACAAATATAATTTGTTGTTGTTGATGCTAGATATAGTCAATATGATTTTCTGCAGAAATCAGTTAGCCCTTGTAAGAATTTGTTTTGCTCAGCCCGGTGTCTTCACACAAACTCAGCACTGTGCTTAAGACTATGCAAACAGAGTTCCATGTGGAAATTCATGTGCATTGGAATGGAATGTGCACTCTCTCCCTGGAGGGATCATCCTGCTTACCTAATGCTGGAAAGTATTAGGCACAGGTTGGCAAGAGCCAAGGCTTGGGAACTCCAGAGTGGGTGTTGGGGGATCTGCTGCAGTTAAAATTCTAACCAGTTAAAATTTGCAGAGCTTGACATTGATAGCAATGTCTTTGAGAGAGGAGGAACAAAAGGAACAAGTAACTCAAAAAAAATAAAATACAGCAACAGATTTTATACTAAACATTAGTCCAAAGGCTGGACCTCTTTAATTGGTTATTGTTGTTGCTGAATTTTGTTAGATTTTGCACAGATAAGCTTAGGGCTCTTCAGCCTTGATGAGAGAGGTCTTGAGAGATAATAAATCGGTTTAAGGTTGCCAAGGCTCGATTTAGGACAGACACCAGGAAGTGCAAGTGGGGGTAAGACACTGGCTAAGACACACATAACAAGAAGCTGCTGGACAGGGAATTGTAGGGACAGTAAGGTGAGAATTCAGGAACGTTGAGATCAAGTGAGCTGAAGGGCCTTCTTCATTCAAGCCTTGCATGTGATCTTGTGATAGACGTAGATGTTGGTGAAAACTGAACCACAAGGTGACAGACACAGCCCTGGGCTGGGCATCCCAACCCCCATTTCCCCCCACAAACTGGGACCTGCTCCCCAGATCTACCCCTGCTGGTCTACAGAGCAGGCTGAGTGCCCAGCCCATCGCCAATCATTACCACAATATTCTTTCCATTTAGTATGAGTCCAT